GTGGGAACCTGTTGTCACCCCTCCCTTATCCGAGGAGGGCCCCGGGAGCGGGGGGCGGTGCGCGCGTGCGGGGCCGGGTGAGCGCGTGTGCATGTGTGCACGTCAGTGTACGTGTGAAATGTGGCGGCGTCGGCCGCGGCAGTGTGCGTTCAAAAAATATGAATAATCAACACATCGCTCACACCTCCGCGGCGAGCCGGGAAGGAGTTGGGAGGTCCCGCGGGCTTTCCCCTGCCGGCTGGCGGGCACCACCAGGAAAAGGGGGTCATTTCAGCGTAGCTCTTCGGTTATCACTGAGCTAAGAAGCAGCGAGTGAAAAAAAAGGAAAAAAGTCACATGTAACTTTTTCTTTCTGAAGGCCTTCTGTTGCACACCATTGTGGAGTATTAGAAGTGGAAGATAGGGGAGGATCCTTGTTCCCCATTTAGCAGCTGGGATGCCTACTGTCATCTCCCACCCTCATTTTGCTCATCTGTAAAATGGGGGTAAACAAATCTACAAATTCCACTTGAAATGTGAAGTTTAAGGGTGAGAAAGGGCTTCGGCAAGTCCTGCCTCTAATCGTTAGTACCTTCCTCTGGGTCTTCCCTTTCACGGAGCCCGCGTGATCAAGCCTCTTAATGTGGGTCCATTTGGCCCCGATCGCTGCACCACTATTAAGTAGTGGTGACAGATGCCACCACCTCCTTTTCCTGAAAGGGGCTGCCACCCTGCCGTACCTCAGCACGGCCCCCAGCAGGGGTTTCACGCACAAGTCACCCCTCCTACCCGGGAAATCAGGTCCCCAGCTTCACGTGGAAGCCACCCCCATCACATCTCTATCCAGACAGCCTGCCCTGCAGCACACACACCTCCCGGGCCTCCATTCCTGCGCGGACACCCGCGCTCCTCAAGCGGCGGTGACTGCTGCGAGAATTTTTTCTACTGACCTTTCCGCTTTGCTTCCTCGCTAGTTCTGCACCCGGAATAAGGGGATGGGAAAGAGGGATATTTCTGAAGGAGAATACTAACGGGAGGAGGAGCAGAGGAGAGGAGGACGAGGAGGAAGACTTTCAGGAATTGCCAAGTGTTAGGGTTGAGTTGAATCTGGCTCCTCCAGTCTATTTTGGGTAAAATCACTGCAGTGCCCCGACTGGCCTGGACACAATCGACATCAAGTGTCTGTAAAACGTTCCTCCACGCCTCAGTATTTCTGCAGCTGTTCCCGCTCGAATCTCCTTCACTATGTGAAAAGAAAAGCAGCGAATCCGCTTTTTACCCAAATTGTCGTATAAGGGAGCTGTTTGGTATCGATGGCAGAGTCCTACTGAGATATCTGTTGTGCATTTATGAATAGTTTATTTTCTCCGACCCTCTCTAGGGAATTCGCATTTATAGAACATACAAATCTAGTTTCCGGAAGAAAATGCCATAGTTGCAATTTGGTGTGAGAGTTAATGAAGCTAGATATTTAAAATATCATTTCACGAAGAATTTTGAGTTAAATATTCTGCAGGTCTCTGATATGCAGAGTAAATCTATTTCTTTGCAGTCGGGCAAAGAGTAGATTCCAGCTTAAAAAAAAAATCGGAAAATCCAGGTCCGAAGGGAGGCCACGGGGACGGCCACTTTTTCCATTTATAAAACCCGGGCTGGCTCTTCCTGTGGATCGAATTCCCCGGGTACTGGTCTGGTTCTGTGCTTCAGCACAGCGGGTATGTGTCTGGAAATGGGGGTGAAGGCCGTATTTAGGGGTGTGTTCTGATACCTCTGAATTCACCCCAGCGTCCCGCCGGACAGGAACACAGCAAGGAGAGCTGTTTCTAAGTAAAATTTCTGAACCTTTGATCGGCACCCAGATGACTGGACCGAACGAGACTGGGCAAAGTGGCCTTAAAACCAATTAAGAGGAAATCGAACATTTCGCACTGGGTTGCAGACGTGAAACAGAAACATGGAAAAAAAGGGGTGGAGGTCATTTGGGAAGGGCGAATGAAGAAGGAGACAGGGTTAAAGACAGACACCCCGAGTTTTGTATAAATAGATTGTGAATAATTTTAATCATAGAGTTCATTTCGGATTTTTCTTGGCCCAGGGGAGGAGCAGAAGCGAGCTCGCTGGCGGGAGCCGGAGAAGCGTGTGGGCTCCGCAGCCCCGCGGGACTGGGCTTCCCGGGGCCGCAGCTGCGCCTGCCGGGCCCCAGCGCAGCTTGGGGCGGGTTTTGTGTTGCGTGATCGAAAAGGGGGTTTGCTTGCTGGTAGCTGGAGGCGATAGAGGTGGGAGCGACCCTCCAGGGACAGCCGCCGATACTCACTCCCGGAACCCACGCGTTTTTGGCGCGAGTGTCGGACTCAGCTTCCATTGCCCCCCAAAACCTGTAAGGATATAGGCCCAACAGGATGGGACGAAATGCCGCCATGCTGGGCCCAAGGCAGCCCTTGTCCCCTGAGGTTCCCAAAGAAACTTCAGCCTGACCAACAGGGAACGTCACCGCCCGCAGCGAGCCACCAGGGAGCCATCCCTGAAACCCCCAGCAGCACTACCGCGCGGGGCGCCCTTAACGCAGCTCACGAGTAGCGAGACGCCCCCACTCTGTCAAAATTCGGGGCCAAGGCTCCCCTAAATTGCCTTCCAGCAGGGCACCGCGGCCCTGGCTCTAGTCTCTGGGGGTTGGCTGGGAGGAGGGGCGCCCTCCGTGCGCAGCCTGTTTTGGGGCGGCAGCAGGGAGCTGGGAGAAAGAAACAATTCATTCGCTTCCTGAGGAGGCATAATTTGGGTGGCAGCTGTTACCGCCAAGAAAAGCTGGAGCCCTCGACCCTGACTTTGCCCTTTAACCCCAGCCAACCTGAGCCTGAGGGGTAAACTGTTGGAGCTGGGCCCAGGCCCACTGCTGACCAGAGGCCTCTCGGGGTGCCCTGCGCACCTTTCCCGGGCAATGTGGAGGTGCAGCTGATCAAAGGCCCCTTGAAAAAAAATCAGTGGTCTCATCGGCTTGTCTGGAAGGGGCTTACGGCTGTTCCACACTCTCTGCCAAGGAACTCAAGGCTTTGGCCCTGCTGGACGCAGACCCGAGACGAAGAAGGGAGTGTGGGCGGGGGTGGAGGGTGGGTAGTTGCTTGAGGTTCGGAGAGATTTATAAAGAGAGATGGTAGAAGATTCCGGGTGGTTAGTTTTTGCTGGGACCGAACTTCTCCGTAAAACCTGCATGTAACAGAGAAATTGCCAAGTTGAAACAGGGCAGTGAATCTCATCCCTACAGATTTCCCTCCCACCCTCCCCCTTCTTGCTGAGGACACTCCTGTCTTACTTGGCTTTTACAAGCCACCCAATCTATTTCCCAATTGCCCTGTATGGTTCTCCAGCCCCTTTTAGTCCAACAGGGAGGACCAAGCCAGAGCTCTGGGGTCCAGGTACCACAGTCAACACAACCCAGAGGAGGGGGATTTACCTTCTCTACCTTCCCCCAAATCAGTGACCCCAGCCCCTGGAACCCGGGGCCTGTGCAGAGAGGGTCGGTGTACCCGCCCCGCAAACTCCCTAACCCCTTATCGGTTTTCAAGGGAATCTCCGCAGTTGGGAGCCGCGCTTTCTAGCAGCAATCCCGCGCGCGCAACAAGGTGCTGCGGTGATTAGTCCCGTGGGGGCGGAGGTGGAGGCGCGCACCGCTCCCTTTCTCAGGAGAGCCGGGTTTTCTTTAAGTGCAAGCTTCCTGTCCGCCCAGGCAAACGAGTTGCGAGGCGCTGTGTCCTCTAGCGGCAAACCCTCGCAGTTCCTTTGCGAGCGCTCACCTACACCTAAGGGATCTCGTCTCTCAAATCTGAGACCTAAGTGGGGACAAAGTGCCTTGAACGCAGCCCAGGCGCTCGCAAATGCCCTCTCCATAATGAGGCCGGGAGACCCGGGCGCAGTCGCTCGAACTGCGAAGAGCTGATTGTCTCCTCCACAGCAGATGGTCTTTGAGCACAGATTTGCATTCATTGTCTTCAAATCTGTTTTCGCGCTGGTGTTCTAGATTTCAGCAGCAGATCTATGCACAGATCAGAATACAAAAGGAGAAGCAAGAAAATGACACCCAGCCAGGAGGATGTTTAATAGGCACCGCGAGCTGCCCGGCGCAGTTAAAAAGCCGTCTAGGGTTTCAGCTGTTCGCTGAGGCTGCTGCCACCGCCTCCCGGCCACCAGCCTGCGGCCAGCACCGCGGCCACCGCGCAGTGGGCGAAGTTTCCGCGACTCCCCCGTCCCTCCCCCCCACTCCCGGGGGCTTCGGGAACAGAGAGATGGGGCGGCAACGGGGGGACCCGCGGGACTACGCCCCGGCGGCTCGCGCACGCAGCCCGCCTCGATCTGTCAGCAGCCTCTCCTCCACACGGTGCGACTGCAGCTCGCGCCGGCCCGCGAGTGTTTTCCTTAGCTCCTGGACCGTTTTCCCCGGCACTGTATTTATCTGAGCAGCACTTGCGCCCGGCTTGTCCACCCCACTCCATCCCCCGCCTTCATTCACGTGTCCTCCACTCTCAGCCCCGTGCAAGCCGCACACAACATCTGATATCACCATGGAACTCCAGGAGACCTGCGGGAGCCGTTCAGGGAGCTGGGTGCTCTGGGGGACGTTTGCACAAAACATAAGCACACGTGGCCACGCTCACAAGCATGCACAGAGATCCGAACCCCGGGAACGGACGTGCCTCCCGGCAGGCTACAAACACCTACATCTAGAGGCAGGATCCACGGACGCTTCCCGCAGCCAGGCCGAGCCCGTGCGTCCCCAGCCCGCAGAGCCCGGCTACCCTAAGTCAGTGCAGGGTGTCAGGGGCCCCCCAGTCCTGCGCACGCACACGGGATTCGTGCAAGGACGCGACGCCCGCAGCTTTCTGTCCCCTTTCACCTCCCGGACTCCCGGCAACGCAGAGCGTGGCGCGCGCCGCAGGAGGACGTCGGACCGGCTAACCCGGCGCTGGCCAATCCCGAGCGTCCATGCAAATGAGGCTCCTTATCGGGCCGCGGCTCCGCCTCCCGAGGCCAGGGCCGTAGTAACCCATTCATGGGGCCCGCGCGCGGCTGCAGCCCGGCTCCGCGGCGCTCGCAGCCACCGCCTCCTCTCGGCTCCGGGTCTTCCCCTTCCTTTTACAACTGATCCTGTTGGGGATTTTTTTTTTTTTTTTCTAAATTGGAAAGGTGGGGAGGAGCAGGGAGGGGGGATCTGGAGGAAGGGGAGAGATTAGGTAGCCATCAATTTCTTCCAGTTTCTCCCAGAACAGGTGATGCTTCTAAATTGTGATCACTTTCAGGAGGCAGCGCTGCAGCTGGAAGGATGCGAGCGACCTAGGGTGGAGGGGCTGAGGCGGCAGATCTGAACTTGCGGAGGATAAGAACCCAAACTTTGGCTACATCAGTCCGCACCTCGCCAGTGAAGCAAAGGACCGGTTATCTTTTTTTTTTTTTTTCCCTAAGACTCAAACTTGGGCACTTGATCCCTTTTCTTGGATTGCTTTGGAGGAGACGATTTGCTGGCAACGTTGGATACAGTCAGGACTGTATTGTTGTAACTCATTTTTAAAGCGACAGTTAGAGGATCAGACTTTTTAAATGTTTGGAATTCAAGATACGTTAGGAAGAGGACCAGCTCTGAAAGAGAAATCGCTGGGCGCAGAGATGGATTCGGTCAGGTCCTGGGTCCGGAATGTCGGAGTGGTGGACGCTAATGTCGCCGCACAGAGGTAACGACACGGCCGCGCAATTATTACCCTCTCGGTCTCTCGCTCTTACCGTCTGTTCCGCCGTGTTCACCCCTCCCCTGCTCCCCTTGCTTTTCTCTCTCCCTGTCCCCCCATCTGTCGCCCAGGCCCTGCGCGCTGGGGTTCGCCCTCGGGCAAGCAGAATGCTGCAGTCAGGGGAACGCTCACTGGGCAGCCAGCACTGGAGTTTCTGAACTGCCTGGTCGTTGGCGTTTCTCTCCCACTCCTTTACCGCAGTACATGCTTTGCAAGGAAAAATGACAAAGTAGCACCCAACATCTCCCAGCTCGGTCCCTAGTCCTGCGAGCTGAGCCAGGCTGGCCCGGAGCGGAGCGTAAGGACCCGCTATGGCAGGCGCGGCGCCGGAGGAAAGCCGGCTTCCCGGCCACTCCCGGCTTCGCCACGCCGCCTGCGAGCGCCTGCCTCCCGCATCTTGCTGGGCGATTCCTGGAGCCCGGGAGGCCGGTGGCCAGAGGGTGGCGGCGGCGAGAGGAGCGGGAGAAGCCGGAGCGGCCGCCCGGGAAGGCGAGGCGGCTGGGGGCTCTGGGAGGAGGGAATAGGCTGGACGGTCCTGGCTTAAAGGTAAAACGGTGACCCAGACGCACGGAGTTGGGGAGCTGGAGAAGAGAAGAAATTAAAAAGAGGAGAGAAGACAGAGTCACGATAGAAGGAGTTGCAGAGGGAGAAAGAGGCGAGGAAAGGCGACCGGCAGCCAGGCAGGCGCAGGGGTCACCAGCTTCTGGTTTTGCGGATCCCTGAGGCTGACTTTGTGTCTAGGCGTCCGCGTGCTGGGATAGTAAATACCATGTCCAGGGTGCCACCCTACGAAGACATTACGGTCCCATTCTATCATCACCACGACTGGGTTGGGATTTTTGGTCTCCAGGTCCTTGTCTGCGAGAGAAGCCGCCCTTCTACCCTCAAAGAGCCCATGAACTTCTTCCACGACCCTCGTCTCGTCGTCTGCCTTCCTGGCCACTCACCCACCTTTACGTGCCGACATCATTCGGAGAAATTATCCCTTTCCCAAACTGTCCCGGTGTCCCGGGTAGAGCGAACCGGCCTCCACCCTTGGAGGAGAGGAAGCAGAAGTCTCATCACTCCCGGACTTGGGCCGGCGGCGGTTCCCTCCCTCCCGCGGCCCGGGGCACGAGGGTTTCCTTCCCGCCGATTGCACTGCGTGGCGGCGGCTGCAGCGGCGGCGGCTTTCAGCACCGCTCCGGGACTGGCCCCGCAGCGAGCAGACGGAAATAAGGCGTCATTGCAGAGCCGGCTGTGCCGCGCATTTCCTTAGCCGGGCTCCTTAAAGACGCCTCCCTCGCCTGCCTCCCTTCCCGGGATCAAAAAGTTTGTTGAAGCTGGAACATGCAGACCGAGTGGGGGAGATCTTAGCCAAAATGTTACCCCTTTCAAAAAGAATGAGTGAAGGTGCTCTCGCCCCGAGGCAGACGGCTGGGAGACCCCAGCGTCTCAATCTATGCGCTCGCCTGCGGCCCAAGTCTTCGGTGAAATGGGCTCTGATGGCCAGGTCGGATTTGACTGCGACCGGCGGGCTGGGAAGTGTGTGCACACACTCAACACGCTCGAGGGTCCCCTAACTTGGGTTTCACAGTCACTGGGTTCCGTTGGCGCCGCCGGGAAACGCAGCTTGAGTGGGGATTGCGGCAGCCCCAGGAAAGGAGGTTCTTGCCTTGTAACAGGTTAGCTTTTCCCCACCTAGCACCTCTGGGATCGAGGGTCCCTTATGTCGGTCATCTCATTTGGGGTGGCCAGTGATCCCCGGGGCTGGTCTCGAGGATTCCCAGCTGCCTCTGTCCCAGGCATAGCTTTTCGGAAGAGGGAGGCAATCAGCCCAAGGACCCAGACTTGGACTCTGTGTTACTCTCCTGCCCGCACCTTGGGGTTCTTAGCCACTACATTTCCCAGTTAGCATGTGGGCCTTGTGGGCATTGGGTCTAGGATAGGTCACTTGAATTAATACGAAATAAAAGGGTCCCTTCTTCCGAAGGGAAGGAGGCACTTATTCTCCTAACCCTGGGTCCCAGCTTTGCATCCTGATACACCCAGCAGTACCACCTGAGGGAGTGGATGGAGCCATCCCCCTGGTGTAGGACGCGGGTCACCTCTTTAGGGGACCAATCTGGGCCTCTGTGGGCAGCCCGGGTCTTTCGGTTTCCACTAAAGACAGGATGGTGGGTGGCCCAGCAGTGGGATGCCGGACCGCTGGGTGGTGTCAGAGACCCCAGGCATCAAGCCTGTCACCCAAACCCCGTGGCCACGGTGACTCTGCTAAGGAGTCTCCACTTTCTTATCCGAACTGGAGAAAAGGCCTAAGGGTCAGAACTCTGGACCTGAGAAGTAGACCCCTTGCCCCTCTGCAGTGTTGTGAGCGGTTAGTAACATCGTCTTTTTGTTCTTGCCCGTGTCCTGTGTCCCCTATTTGTCTCCCTGTGCAGCGGGGTCGCCCTGTCCCGGGCCCACTTTGAGAAGCAGCCTCCCTCCAACTTGCGGAAATCCAACTTCTTTCACTTCGTCCTGGCGCTCTATGACAGGCAGGGGCAGCCGGTGGAGATTGAGCGCACGGCCTTCGTGGACTTTGTGGAGAATGACAAAGTAAGCGGAACTTACCCCCCAAACTCTGCGGCCTAATAACTCCCTCTTTGCGAAGCATTAAAGATTCCATCTGTCACTCTCGGGACACTTTTCCACTCACATCATCAGGGATGAAAAATCGAGACTTCTTACCCCTAGCCTCTAAATTAGTCTATTTCCCGAACCTCCTCCCACCCCCACTTCCCCACCGGGAGCAGGGAGCCTGGCGCCCTTAGTAGCTCCTGATTATGGACTGACGGTGGAGCAAACGCCCTTCGGACTAGACCATAGTTAAAAAGTACACCCAAGGCCACCGCTCCCCTTCTCGGGGTTAATTTTAATTATTTTGCACCTGCGAGAGCCAGCGGGAGGGGGGGGGGCTGAGTTGCATAACTAAATGGAAGCCGGCAGCCCAACCTTGGCCCGCCTTCAGGCTGTGCCTTCTTTCCTCCAAGGCAGAGCCTCCTCTAAATTCAAGCCTGGAATTGGGGGCTGGATTCGATCTCAAATGAAGGACAGTCTGCCGAAACCCATGTGTGACCGAAGGAAAACCTCTTGCCCTTTCCTGGTCTCAATGTCCCCAGCTGTACAATATGAGCTTTAGAGCAGGCACTTCCCAAAGTCCCTCCTGAACTTGGAGCTCAGTCCCTGAGCTCGTGGCCTTGCAGGCGCAGTCCTCACAGGATAGGCCCGAATGCTGCCCTTCCAAATGACAAGTCCCTTCACTTTTCTGCCAAGGGAAGCCATGGGGCTTCCTAAGGACAGACAGAGCCTTATGGGTTGGGTGGCGCCTGTTTAAAGGCAGCTTTGGCGAGTTGTCTGGTTGTCCAAACTCAAGGGTCGCTCTTCTGAGGACATTTTTAAAGGAGACAGAGGGCCGGAAAAGGTCAAGTGGCTACGAGTCTTGGCAAGTTTCTGAGGGCGGTCAAGGACAAGCAGATGCTCGTGCCCTTTGACCTAGGGCAGGACAGGTGGTTGTTCAAAGTTGCCTTTTGATGGGGAGAAGGGATGTGGGGTAGGGATTCACTCTCTCCTCTTTCCCCCATTTTTGAGGGGGCTGGAAGGCAGGGGAATCAAACGCTCCTTCTCTTTTCAGGAACAAGGCAACGAGAAGACCAACAATGGCACTCACTACAAGTTACAGCTCCTCTACAGCAACGGTGAGCTTGTCTACAGCAACCTTGAGCCGGCGCCTAGCAGCTGGCTTCCGGGACGCACACGGTGACTTTGCCACGATCAATCGCAGGAATGGCTTTGGAGACCAGGGCGGCGGGAGGCTTGCCCAGGACAGGGGATTGGGAGGTCACTGTCTCCAGGCCGGCTTAGCCTGGAGAGGCTGCTTGGGCCTCAGCCACAGGGCAGAGACGGGCTTGGGGTGCCTGGAAGGGGCTCCACGGCCCTTAACTCCTGCCTGTCGGGTCCCCACAGGTGTCCGCACGGAACAGGACCTTTACGTCAGGCTCATCGACTCGGTCACCAAGCAGGTGAGCCCGAAGTCACTTGGTTCCTCTTCGTCTGTCTCTGACCTCCCCTCCTCTTCAAAACCTCCCAGTTTGTCTCTGACCTGCCCCTCTTCCACGATTTCCTGGGTCAGACTCCACAGCCCCCTCCACGGCAAATTGTTTTCTTCTCTCTGTCTCATCAAATGTCCTGCTCTGTCTGGCTCAGGGAAACTCTGTGGGTGGAGGGAGGCAAACAAAAAGGATGGAGAGGAAACAATTATTGAGAGATACAGGTCCCCAAACATTCCGTTTTGCTAAGAATGATGTTCTCATTGGGGCAAACTTCTCTATGATTTGAGTCCAAACTCATATGCGCAGGTAGTGCTGCTAGCGGGAATTCGTAACGCAGTGGCACGCGGTGGGAGAAAAAGCGATGTTGTGCTCCTTCTGAAGTCCCTTCTTTCCTTGCCCTCCACCCCTCTCCACATCTTCCCTTCCTGCCCCCACCTACTTTACAGCCCATCGCTTACGAGGGACAGAATAAGAATCCGGAAATGTGCCGAGTTCTCCTGACGCACGAAGTGATGTGTAGGTAAGAGGCGCCTTTTCCCAGGCCTGCCGGGAGAGCCCGCAGGTGCTCGAGCCCCGCCTGGCGCGCCGCGTTCCCGGGACTAATTTTCAGGAGTGAGGGCGCGCAGCTGGGAGGCCTCGCGGGCAGACTCGCGAGTCCAGGGTGCAGATTCACGGAAACCATTTTATGCAAGTTTCTTAGAGCATAGCCCTTAGGACTGGAAAGAAAACCCAGAATGACTCGGGATTTCACGTCTCTGATGTCGCAGGAGTTTCCTCTGGCCAGTGGAAAGTCTTCATTGTCCCCTGGTCAGTAGTGCTGGAAGTGGGCTGGGCAACCCGGGCCGGGTTTGGGATCGGGGATTTTCGGCTGGAGTTCCCGCCGGGCCTCGCGTGGTAGAGTTCCAGGCGGGCCACTTGTGGAGTTACTGAGTCAGAGCCCTGGAAGGACTCCTAGTCTGGGCGAGAGACCGCCAGAGGGTCCAGCGGCTCATTTCCGGGGCGCTTCCTGGCACCCAGGCACCTGCGGTGATGCGGAGGCGTTTTCTTCCTCCCGGAAAGTTGCTCTCTTAGGACTTCACGTGCGGGTGTGTGTGTGTGTGGGGGGGGTGGATTCTCAGGTCAAAAGGAACTACCTGGAAGAGAGATCAGTCCATTTCCCACCAGTGCGTAGGAGGGGCAGGGAGAGGACCCACGGGGAGATCTGCAGTGTGGAGCAACAGCTGGATTCTGATGTTCGAGTCGCGAAAGGTTGTCTACTGGCTTTTCTGCACCTTTCCCATCTTCTTTTCAGAGACCAATCCATTCCACCTTGAGCCCTGTGTATTATCCACTTTCTTCTGCCTGACTAGAAGAAAATTTAAAAAATCAGAGGAATCGCGTTCACACTTACTCTTACAAATGTTTATTGAGTACGCAGTATGTGCCTGGTATTGGCTGGGTGCTGGAGACCCCACCGCAAACAAGAAAAGATATAAATAGGAAACTCTGGAAACAGTGTGGTTATTTTATCATGAAAATTTAAATGCCTATTCCACACATGCCTTTCTTCCTCCAAAAAGCTCTGATTGGAGGGAAAGCCCCAATCCTTCCTTACTTGGCTATTGCTTTAGTGAGTGTCTCCCAACTCCAGACTTACTAGTTTTGGGTAATTGCAGGCTCTCTGATTTAGTGTGGACTGTTTTATGGGCAGCTCCCTGAAGCCCTGTCTCCCTCCCCAACCCAGTCAGGAAGAAACCATAACAATCAGACATGTTTGTTTTGGTTTTGACCAAGTATTAAAAAAACAAACTCTCCAAATGCCAGTGGCTTCAGCTGAAAGCAATGAAGGCTTCCTTACTGGAGTAGCTGGGGGGAGGAAGGCATTGGGAGCAGTAAGACGATAGATACGCCAGTATCCCAGGGACTTTTGATAACTTTATTCAGAAAGAAAATACAATTCTGAGATGGGCTTCATATAATACCTTGAGGTAAATAGTCAGGATGCTTTGATTAGGTTGTTAGTTGAAAGCAGGTTTTTTTGTTGTTTGTTATTTTGCCTTTCTTTGGAGAGATTAACTTCTGAAAAGGAAAGAAAAAACCAAAAACTGATCCATTGTCTAATGAATTATACCTATCATTTTAAATAATGCTTGCATGCCCCATCCAGCTGTAGTTAAGACTGACATTTTTATTTTTAAGCCCAATCAAATCCTCCTCATTTTATGCTGTTTAAGTAGCAGCATCAATTTTTAAAGCCTCTAGTTTAGTCTGCATTAGTAACACAATATAAAAATTTAATGTACTGTAACTTCTCTGCATTGGAGACCTGGGAAGATGCTCTGCTGTTTTCTTCCCAAACTAGAATTTAAAATAGATATTAGTTATGTGTAAATAAATGATCCATTGGATGGATACTGTCTGCAGCTGTGTGAGTATGTGTACATGTGTACAGATGAGATGTGTGATGGCAAATATTAAATGCATCCAAAAGGGAAGTTATCATTCAATCTATCAGCTAGAGCTGGTTGATTCTCCAGGAAGGGGTAAAGTTCCTTCTCTTACATTTTAGGAGCCAGTCGTAGCAGTCAATGATTGAGGGGTGAATCAGGTGCTCCGTTTTTCAAGGGTTATTGCCTGTACTGAGTTTCATTTGCATAGTGTTATCTGACATACCTGGGCGCTTCCCCAGATGGTTTTATGTTCCATAATCTTTAGTAAAAGGCTCATAAATTGGTATTTAGCTCTAAACGGGGAACAAAGCAGAGACAAAATAAATCTCTTTAGAAATAACTTTTTTTCCCCCTTCCCCAATGGTCTCTGTTCCTCTCTTCTTTGCTTTGGTTCATTTTGCCAATTATTAGCAAGAAGAAATCTAGTTGTTATGTCGCTGCCAGCCACCCCTGAGCCCTCAATGCTCAGAGGGTTAAAAGATATTATAATTTGAACAGAAGTCGTCTCAAGGCCTACAGCTGGCTAATAACAGAGTTGTATTGAGCTCGAGCAAACCCCACAGCTGTGACTTTTCGCCACAAGGCGCAGGCTAGACAGGGCCCTAATCAGATGGGCCAGCCGGGCAGTGAGGCCAGTGTCTTTATCGGCCAGATGGTGTGAATTTAGACACTTTTGTTATGCAATCGCAGGGAGGAGTTGGGGAGAAGAAAACAAAACAAAAGCCACCATGCTGTGCGCTTATTTGAGTTTGAAATTAGAGACAGATTTTTGAAAGTTGAAGGTTGAATTTTAAAAAAGATTTTGGAGGGGAAAGGGACACATTCGCTTGTCGTGAGCTGAAGTTTGGCTGACTGGATGCCCTCTGTCCATGGCTGGGGATTTTTTCCCTTCCCCAGCCATCTTTTATCCCTCTTCTTTTTCCCTTTCTGAAAAATGCAGGTAGGATTCAGGATCGCGATAAGATTTCTCATATTTCCCCACCTCCCACCTCCAACTTGTTTTATTTTTTTCTCTCTCCTTCGAAGACTCTGGGTGGAGATGGGGAGAATAAATCGAGAGTGTTTCAGATAAAAGGTTCTCCAAATAAGTACTAGAATAAAATAAACCAAACCAAGGCAGAGAGAAGCAGTGGAACAGCTTTCATTTTCATTCATCAGGAAAAAAGAGCACCTCTGAGTCTCTCTGGGGTTGTTACAAACACAGTCTTAACCTATTGCCAAGTTCAGTTTCCTCTTCTTTTTGCTTTGTTTATTTTTTTACTTTTTTTTTTTTTTAAATCTTAGAGTCATTTTCAGTTTTAGAAAACATTTATCATGAACTTCAGACTTGCATGTTGGAGAATAACCCTAAAAGCCTTTTAATAAAGTTGCTGAATCTGAAGCTGATCATCCAGGCTTTGTCTACACAGCAAAGGGAAGGGAGAATTGAGTTTGTCATCTGAGTAATTCAGGGACCTGGTTTCTGAGCTGTTCCACACTATTTGGAGAGTGTAGGCTCACAAACATTTCGGGTTCTCCATTTCCCATTGCTTGTACTGATACTGCTGGCAGGAGGACTGAACACGGTTTAAAAAACAAAATAAAGAACAACTAGAACATATTAATGAAACCTTTTCTCTAAAAAAAAAAAAAAAGAACGAACGATTTGCTTTGGCCAACTTACAGACCTAGGAAAATCTTAAGGCAGGCTTAAATGGGGCTAATTCAACCAAGTTCTATTATTTTTATACCTTTTCTGTTATAGTTCGGCCAAGTGAATGTCTTCTATGTATTTTCCGTGCTGAATATCAATGTTAGAGATGATATTTAAATATGTTACTGTTGGAAAATGGAGGACTGGATCCTAAAGTTTCTCTGCATTTTTCTTTGAATATCATTTCCTCCCAAGTTCATTCCCTATGTTATACTACACTGGCACCAGGCTTACATTTTTATCTGTTTTTCTTTTCCTCCAGAGGAAATCCCCATGGAAGGCAGCTGAATTCAGCTGAACAATTTTGCAAACTTACTCAGCCCCCTCAGAATAATTCCTACCCAAACTAAACAAATTGGCACATTCTGACAGTGTGCGCTCTTGTAATTAAATTGTACCCGGCATTGCACACATATTTGGGGTTAGGTTGACCTGCTGGTGATGTCAAAGGGGAGAGTCTTGCTTGAAGGTCTTTAGGTAACTAGCATGTATGGGTCTTTTGAAATTGTGTTGCTAAGAAAAATGGTTTGCCTGAGCTGCAAAGGTATTACGTTGACATAAGCAATATTCTAGAAACAGGAAAGGTGGGAGAAATGGGTGGGAGGGTAGGGATTTGGGAAGACAGACAAGGGGTTTAGGAGGTGGGAGAGCAGCTGGCCTGCATTTTTATTGGTGTTAATCTTGGGATGGATTGAAATTTTAAAAGTTAAGATCTAATATAATTTCAAAGGCCAAATATTATTTCAGAAAGTCCCAGTGGCAAACTCTGGTATTTAAGAAAGTTGAGATCATTTTTCTTTTCCTTCCTACTAATTTGATTAAATTTCTTAAAACCTCATTGTGCCCATTTCCTGCAAATGTTTTAGCATCTCTTAAGTACATTTTACTTTCTGAGGATGGTAGACTTATTCACTGGTGAATCCACATATCCTGCATGAAAGAGATGGGTTTAAAAAGTTTTAAGACATTTATTTGTTTGTTTATGTTTAATTCTGTGGAGGACCAGAGAGGGTAAATGAGCTGCAGAGAGCCACAGAGCTAGGACTGGGGCTTGGAGTGGTGGCATATGCCTGTAATCCTAGCACTTTGGGAGGCTAAGGTGGGCAGAGAGATTGAGCCCAGGAGTTCGAGACCAGCCTGAATGATACAGTGAGACCCTGTCTCTACCAAAATAAAAAATAAAAAATTAGCTGAGTGTGGTGGTGTGTACCTGTGGTCTCAGTTACATACGGGAGGCTGAGAAAAGAGGATCATTGAAGGCTGGGAGGTTGAGACTGCATGTCACTGCATGCCAGCCTGGGCAACAAAGTGAGACCCTGTCTCAAAAAAACAAAAACTAGGATTGGGCTGGTGCTAGGCCTTTGGGTTCCTGCTGTCACATGACTTCCTTTTTAACTCTTGCTATTGCTAGTTTCAAAGGGTGCTCATGAAATCCCCTAGCCTCATGGACTTAAACCTAGAAAGGACTCTAGAGAGAATCAAATCCAACACTTTCGCTTAATTCATAAGAAACAAAAAGCCAAGAGGGTTAAAGACATTTGGCTAAATTTGTGAAGCTGGTTGATGGCTTGGAGACCAGAACACTGATTTCGAGTTCAGCAACTTCATAAGGTATCACATCAAACTTAGGCTACAGAAAAACAACCATGGGAAGGGCAGAGCTCACGTATAATTTGATTGTTTTTAGTATGCTTACTTCTTAGGCATATTCTCCAACCAGTATGGATAGTTACGAATTTTTAAAGCCATGTCAAGGCTACATTCTTAGCCAACTATAGTTGATAGTGGACCGTGTGCCGGAGATGAGCAGAGAGGTATTCAAAAGTCTGTAGCCCTGACAAGCAGCAGATGGGCTACCTGGTGGTAAGGGGAGTGAATTCCCTGTGCTTCTTACCAGCAAGCTTCCTTTGCCCTTCTCACATTTGTCTAGGTATTTTTGAATAGATACCTTTGGATTGGAGTGTTTTGCTCCCCTCTCAGGTCCTAGGGAGTACTTTCTGTTCCTTGTAATTGTCTTAGGGGATCTTCTTTATCTCCCTCTCAGCTAATCCCATCAGCATTTATTGAGGTCTTTCTACCAGGTACCCAGCACATGGGGGACGTCCTGGGAAGCGGAGTTTTCAGAACGGCACTTACAAACAGTGGGATATCACTTCTGTTTCAGACTTGGTGAAAATTATTGGAGATACCATCCCACAGCTCCATGCCTCATGTTCCTCCTATTTTAAAATGCATACCATAGTTCTGGTCCTCATCCTTCATCTTTGAAAATGACGGAAATGAGTGAATGAATAAATGTTTACAAAGTATACCAAGATCTCTGGAGAAAGATGTTATGTAAATAAGCTTTGTAGTAATCCAGGCAGCCTATTTTATACATTTTCTTTCCTCCTCTTTCTTCAAATATTTATTAAGCCACAAAGACAAAAAATATCATAAAATCCTTGAGCTTCAATCTGGAAGTGACCTTATTGATCTTAAAATCCAACCTTCCATGGTTCAGCTTACAAATATGGCTCATGGGAAAGTTGATTTGCTGAGAATTAGCCAGCTTATAAGTCCCAGAGTGAGAATTTGAGTATATTTTGACTTCAGGTTCAGTGTTATTATTTTTTATTTTATAAAATGTGATCATAAATCCTGCCCTCAAGCAGCTTACTGTTGGGAAGCTACCTTGAACAGATTTATTTATATTTATTTATTTTTTTCTTCAACCTTTAAGTTCAGGGGTACATGTGCAGGACGTGCAGGTTTGTTACATAGGTAAACAAGTGCCATGGTGGTTTGCTGCTCAGATTATCTTACCACCTAGATATGAAGCCCAGCATCTATTAGCTATTCTTCTTGAGGCTCTCCCTCCCAGCATCGCCCCTGCAGCAGGTCCCAGCGAGTGTTGTTCCCCCTAAGACAGATTCATCTTTGTGTATGTTCTTGTGGCCAGGCGCTACAACTCACGCCTGTAATCCCAGCACTTTAGGAGGCTGAGGTAAGCAGATCACCTGAGGTCAGGAATTTGAGATCAGCCTGGCCAACATGGTAAAAACCCATCTGTACTAAAAATACAAAAATTAGCTGGGCGTGGTGGTGCACACTTGTAGTCCCAGTTATTGGGGAGGCTGAGGCAGAACAATCACTTGAACCCAGGAGGCGGAGATTGCAGTGAGCTGAGATCGAGCCATTGAGCCACTGAGCCACTGCACTCCAGCCTGGGTGACAGAGCCAGACTTTGTCTTGGGGAGAGGAAAAAAAAAAGAATGTTCTTGTTTGTCATGTGCACATTGCATTTTCTTGATTTAATAAATTTCTTTTACTCTTTTGTTTCCTTCCCAATCTACAGTCGATGCTGCGAGAAGAAAAGCTGTGGAAACCGAAATGAGACTCCGTCGGACCCGGTCATAATTGACAGGTAGGGGGAAAAAGTGATTTTTCAATCATTTTTGGTTTCTTTTCTTCATGAACCTCAACTCTGAGTACTGATCCGTGGAGCTTTGCTGTCAGGTTGGTTTCGTGTTATTTCAAGTCACTAAGCTCGTCCAACAAGAGCCTCCTCATGCTGGCCTTTCTTGGCAGAAGCCAGAATCTTCCTTCGGAACATGTGTTTCTAAATCTGTGGCGGAGTCTTTTCCAGGTGAACTGACTTCAGCCTAATAAGTAGTATGTGTGGTGAAGGATATAAGCAATGGCTTCTCTCCTCTCGGGCAGGGGATGGTCTCAGTCAGTTTTCTAGAAGAGGCAGTGTGCCCCCAGTTAAGTGGCATCTGCTTTATGATTCTCCATGATTGCTGCTGGGCTGGAAGATTATCAATTTAGAGTATGGTTTAGGGGATTAGGACAAGCACTCTGTTGCGTTGAGGGAGATTCCTTTCTACCATGGAGGATTGCATCCTGGGTTCTATGTTATATTTTCAGAATGGGAAAGATTCTTTGGGACAAGACACTAATTCACCGAAATGTGATTTAGTCATCCTCTGCTGCCTGTTTTTGTGATTGGAAACAGAACTTACAAACCATCGAAGAAATACCAAATTAACTTCCAGCAATCGTGTAATTTTTAAGAAACCCCATATTCCCACCCCTAATTTTTTTCTCTTTCGTTAAAAAACGGAATAATTCCCTGTTGCTTCTTTCTTTGGGTTTTCACATTTCTAGCCAGGTCCTGAAATGGATTGGAGAGATCACAGTCTCCAAAGTTGTTATTCCAATATTCCAACAAATTCTCAGTTGGGAGAATGGAACCTCTGGCATTTTTCCCAGAAAGCCAGCTTGGTTTCTTCGTGGAAAGTATAGCATAGCCTAGGAATTAAGGAGGCTGGAATTCTGGTCCTGTCCTAGCTTCTGACCTTGGACAAAGCACTCAGCATCTCTGTTCTTCAATTGTATAAAGGTGGGTTGGGGGGCTCTGTCACTGCTGTAGGCTTCAAGAGGCTGCTGAAATATCAGTGTCAGCTTTGCAATGTTCTCTGAGATGCTTGAAAGAGAATGATAGGCAGATATAAAGTGTTTGTTGGATGGTGTATAGTGTCTTTGCCATTTTAGAAGGTTCCAGTGAGCTGTATTTTAGGGAGGTATTCAGGGTTGCTCTGGTCTTTTCGAAAGTACAGAGAAGCTTAATTATACAGAGTTGCAAGTACTCTTTGGAGTCAGTCATCTTCCTCATCTTATAAATGAAAAATCTGACCCTTAAATGGTGGCATGACTTGCCCGTGGTTGTGCAGTTGGTTGGGCAGAGCTGGCATTGGAACACAGCTCTCCTTCCAGGCCAGGTGCGGTGGCTCATGCCTGTAATCCCAGCACTTGGGAGACCAAGGTGGGCAGATCACTTGAGGTCAGACATTTGCGATCAGCCTGGCCAACATAATGGAACCCTATCTTTACTAAAAATACAAAAATGAGTCAGGCATGGTGTCACGTACCTGTAATCTCAGCTACTTGGGAGGCTGAGGCAGGAGAGTCACTTCAACCTAGGAGGTGGAGATTGCAGTGCCAAGATCATGCCACTGCACTCCGGCTTGAGTGACAGAGCAAGACAGCGAGACTCTGTCTCAAAAAAAAAAAAAAAAAAAAAAGAACATCACAGAGCTGTCTTTACTTCCAGACTTGTGTTTCTCTTTATGGCCACAGCCTTGTCCTCCCAGCACTTTCTCTGTCCTAACTGATGAGTTGGATCTGCTCATTTCTCTGTTTCCCAGGGATTCTCTGGGAGACAGGAAGCATGTGAGAAAGCCTAGACCAAGGTCCTGTCCTTTCGGGCTTGTGGATGGAGCTCACTAATCTTTATCTAGTCTTTTCCACCATCTTTAGCTTCTCTTTTAAGAGGATACTCTAACTTCATGACTGTTACCTCCTTTCTTGAAATAAATATCTCTAAACCAGCTTTAGAAATGTTTGCAAACCCGTAAATACTCACCTCTACCTCGGATCTCATAAGCACATACCTTAATGGCTCTGCATTGAGCAGGAGCTCCTACTTTAGAGAACTATATCTAACTGCATTCACAGATAAAGCTGACTATGCTCATGTTTTCTTCCTGTGTAATACACGTTACAAAAGAAAGTACACATGTACAAAAGAAAGTATCCTTGCATCTATAGAAAGAAAAGATTTTCATATTAGGTGCCTTCATAGTTTGTGCTAGCATGCTTTAAATTCTTCTGAGAAAGTGGAAATTGTATCTTGGCTGCAGATTATGAGTTTTATGTGACTGTGGCATTTATTTTTACTATCCTATGCACAATACGATAGCCCAGTGATGTCTCTGCATCACTGGAAATATGTGTTACTTCTGAAATGTTGCATGTCTACACAGGGAAACATACATACCAAAGGATACTGTAAATTGCCCAGTATCAGGTTTTAAGGGCGCCCACTTTAGTATAAACAGATGCATTTGTTTGGCTGGTTTATTGTAGGGCTTTCATTTGAAGATAACCGTTCTCTCACTGAAACCTTGTCTCATTGCTCCCGAGTGTCTTTTGGGTTTACCTTAGCCTTCTTGCCTTCATTTTCAGAAGTAAAATGGCAGGAAGCAACCTGAGCATATTGGGATCCCATCTATACAAATAAAAAAAAAAAGTTAACTAGGCATGGTGGGTGCACACCTCTGGCTCCAGCTACTCTGGAGGCTGAGGTGAGAGGATCACTTGGACCCAGGAGGTTGAGGCTACAGAGAACCATGATCATGCCACTGCACTCCAGCCTGGGTAACAGAGGGAGACCTGTCTCCAATAAAAGAGAAAAAAAAAAGGCATGAAGTCAGGTTTCCATTTGTTGAACGTGGGGATGGTGCTTATAGTATCCAGGGGTTTGGCTCAGCCTTGCATCTGGCCTCTGTGTCCATCCACCAACGTGGACATGCGAAGTTCCCTCACAAGCCCCAAATGGGTGCAAAGCAGTCTATTTTGGATTTCCTCTGTGTAAATATAGAAGTCTGTTCTTTGCCCTTGTTCCTATAATGCCAACTAATTATCTCCTCCCCCTTCTCACCTAACCTTACCAGATGCAGTTAATTTACACTGTCTGTCTTTGCGTTTTCCCAGACAACAGGCACGCTGCACTCTGGCTCAGAATGAGTCTGTTTATTCCCTTGAAATGTGCATGCTCCAGGAAGAGGGACAGGATGGTTTCCCAAGTTTTCAACTCTAAGGACCCCTTAAGCTTCTTCCTGGGTGAACACAGGGTTTGGCAGGATTTTTCCTTCCAAACTGCTATGGACAAGTAATAATGCAGCTGTAATTCCATTTTATTAATCAAAAACATACAACAAAATGGAAAGGAAAAGCATCTCACCTCAGAAATGTCCTTGATATGGTCAATGGCCAATTTAAAGAGTTTTTGATCGGGGTGAGATAACCAGTGTTACTACACTGACTTGGGAGGCTTCCAGCTCAGACAGTAAACAACGTGCCTTCCCGGTGAGCCCATGTGACCATATCCTGGCAGATCTTCTGTTTCCAATAGGCTGCTTGAAATATGAAAAATCACTTTTACTACCATGTGGCCTCTTAATTGAAAACCACTGGCGTTTACAATAGGGGATCCCCCGTTAGGGAGTTAGTTCTCCATTTCCCAAAACTTAGTCCCAGACTTGGAGTTTTTTCCCCAATACTAAATTACTCCCAGCCTTCTTCTCTTTAGAAATATAAATTTATTTTTTATTTTCAGTTTTTCAGTATGCTTTTGTGAATTCTTGGACAATTACAGCCCTCTCCAAAAGACCAGCCCAAAACGCAGCCCAGCAGGACTTGCTGCTGAATCAAGGGTCTCCCTATTAATTTTTAGTGTTAAAATCCAAAGTCCCCATCGTGGGGAAAAAGCCCCAAAACAGAACAGAACAAACAGAAACCATAATGAAACATCGTCCTTACTGTGGTCTTCAGCTGAGCTCTTGTCTGTAAAGACCTGTGTGGTAAATAAAAATAAAAGGCTTGAATGGATTTGCATTTGTGTTTTGGAAGGAAGCTGTCATTCAGACTTGGTTGTTAGGGGCTGTGTTCTCTTCAAATGCTCTTCTCTATCTGGAAGCTTCTCTGACGATCCAGTGAGCCTCTGAGGGACTCAGGATAACCTAGTGATCTGTGAGAAGAGGATTTTAGGGACAGTCTGACTAATGTGGGAGAAGGAAGATGAGTCCCTCTTGTTCTTGTCCTCGTCAGCCACACAGAAAGTCAGATGGATAGGGAGGGCAAGAATTTCTTTTGAATCTTGGTAGGCTGCCCGTGTGCATATTGGTAGGATATTTTCTAGTAAATAAATAAAAAGCAGGTCCAACCTATTTCTCACATGCTAAATATCCCAGTCTTTTGTTTGGGAACTTTGGTCTCATACATTTCTGAGCTCTTTTCCCAGGAGGTCCATTTTAAGTGTTGATGTGTTTTTGACTATTTTCTTTCTTGAGAAACCAAACAGCAGAATGACCTTCATTCAAAAGATTTGTTCAAAAAGATCTGAGTAAACTGAGGTTTAGTTGCCCGTGAGGGGTTTTCCTAACACCATTTTCTCTCTTTCTCTTTTTTTAAATTTAATTGTGGTAAAATACATATAAAATTTATCATCTTAGCCATTTTTAAATGTGTAGTTCGGTGGCATTAAATACATTCACACTGTTGTGCAACTATCACCACCATTCATTTATATAATTGTTTTCATCTTGCAAAACTAAAACTCTGTACCCATTGAACATTCCCCACTTCCCCTCCGCTACCCCCCAGCACATGGAAACCACACTTCTATTTAATGTCTCTATGAAGTTGACCACTCTGCATTCCTCATGTAAATGGAACCAGGTACTGCTGATCGTTTTGTTTCTGGCTTATTTCACTTTGCATCACCTCAGGGACTCCCCATGTTGCAGCGTGTGTCAGAATATCCTTCCTATTAAAGGCTGAACGATATTCCATCGTATGGAT